ATTACTTATTTTACGTTTCGTACTTTAAGTATACTTTGATACTTTCTACTTTTACTTGAGTACAATTTGTATTGCATGACTATAGGAGTATTCCTACACTCTGGTACTTCTAATTAAGTACAATATCTAAATACTTATTCCACCTCTGAATGTGGAGCTCATTCATTAACATTGCAAACTGGGGCTGACCTCTACACCACAGACAGTGTTTGTTTTTCACGGCTGTCTGTTTGGTTACATTTCACAGCAGAACACATGCATGGAAATTAAGTCTGGCTGTAAAGTCATGGTTAATTAGTTACTCTGCTTTTTCTTTGAGGCAGGATTAACAGAGGCTGTCAAATGTAATCTGCTTCAGGGACTGCAGATGTAATATTCTACATTTCCACAATTTGGTCTATCTTCAAAATAACTGACATTAAATAATATATATTGCAGTAAGATTAATTTAATCAGTAATAGTTGGTTTATTGGAGCTTAAACAGTATACATAGGGAGCTTTTGCTTGGCAAGAAAACTGATTCTAAATGCAAGCATCTACATCTGCTTCTATTTTAAACAGCCAAATACCACATGTGACAGTTCTGGAAATCTTGGTTAAAGTGACTCCCACCCACTCTATAAAAAGACTGAGCAGATGGGGGTGACATGACAGGATTGATTACAGGATAAGAGCAAAAACTAAAGTCAAAAAATTAATTTCAGTCTGTCATTAAGCTCAATGACAGAGAGTTTTAGACGCTTCAATTTAAAAACAAATCACATAATTTATTCAAACAGCAAATAACAGAGTGAATCTGCTGTCCATTATTTTTAACCAAAGGTTTAACTTCAATAAAGCTAAAATAGTTCAAATAATACACTCTAATCTAACAAATTGTATAGTGTGTATGTTCTGAAATCGACTACAAATCATGCCTTTGATATTTTGTTTAGGTACAATGTTACCCAACATTTGAGTGTCTTTTTGACAGGAATAAATGCAAAAAAAATGCATGAACAATATCTATTAACACAGGATATATTCCTGTTTTATCCAGTTAATCACACGTTTTAATTGCACTCGTTTATAAATCTCTAGTCTCAGAGATGAAGAAAATGGCAAAAATGACTATTTTTTTTAACCAAGTTTGTGGCTTTACTCCACAACACTAGGAGCACTAGTCTTAAAACCTTTGACTTGTTTAAAACATTTGAATTGTCTTGCACTAGTTTTGCTAAAACGAAGAATTGCCATAGATGCAGGTTAAAACTTTGCTCAAAAAGAAAGAGAAACATTGGCAACATTTAAAATTGTCCAACTACTTTCTTTCTTTAGCAGAAGCCTATTATTCAGTTTAACCAATACACCTTGTAAGTATGTTTTGCTTAACCTTATACAAAGGTACCTTTCATCTCAAACACAACTCGCCAATACGCATATAATCTATCAGGGTCCATTGAGTGTTAGAATTGCCTGATCTTCAATAAAATAAAATAAAAACTTCAAAATCATTTTTAGATGTTTAGGCTCCCTTAGTGTGATATTTCAGTTGTGTGAATAATAACATAACAAGAGCATCTGACATGTTAACACCTTTATTTTACAAGCAATTAAATCTTCCCTGAAATGAAAACAGATGCAATGCAGATTGATACAGTAGAATGATTTTGACATTCATGTGAAAACGCTGCTCCCTGGTGGCAAACGGTGACTGTCACACGATGTCCGGACACACTCCACCAGAGAAGTGACGCTCTGCTGCCCATTAAAGCAACTTGTAATGAATATAGTGTAATGCTTCAAGTACTCAAACCGTTTAAAATATCCCAAAGTATTCACTAACCCTCACTCTAATTTATTATTAGATTCATGAATATATTACAAGCAAAATAACTTAATAAAGGCCCAATTAAATATCACAGGTATCATGTAGGGCAAACAGTTAGGTCAAGGGTTCTGTGTCCTGGGGATATCCACCGTCATTAGATCTGAAATAAAACAAACATTTATGTTAGATTGCACTTGTATGACAAAATGGGTAGGGAAAAACATGACGTAATAGAGGATTTGAATACCTACTCACCTACACTTTGTCAATGCCAAGCTCCTCAGGTGTAGAGATGCCAAGCTCCTCTAATGTTGGCTTCAGCTCTTGGATCAGATACGGGTAGATATCTTTATGAGGGCCGGCTTTATCCTGAGGAAATGTCAAACGGTCATTAATCATTAACTCAAGTCCTCCAGCTGCAAAGATGCTGGTTGGCAATAGTCCCTGAATTAAACACAGAAGGTGCCCTTTATCTCTCACCTTCACAGCTTCCAAAATTCGGATAGCGCTCGCCAAGTCGTTTAGCCTCCGACAGGCTTTCAGAGCTGCCTCAACTATCTTTGGCTCGGGTACCAGATCATAACCAATCAGTGTGTTCATCCCTGAAACAAGGAATTATAACTGGTAAATTGGAGAACAGTGAGGAAATTAACACTTTTACTATACGCTGCATTTCTTTCCTGAGGCCAGCCATACTCCATATTTTGCATATTTGAGGAAATCCTGTTTAAAGACCAAAACCAAAAATAAATGCAGTCATCCTCACAGATTTATTTTCAAACTATCAAACCTACCTTTTCTCAGTTCCCATGCATCAATGTCTGACTTGTTGAAATAGGTGACCCAGCGGGCATCAAACTCCTCGTCCGTCTCCTGCTTCCCATGCGAGTAACCCCTCGAGGCCAAAAGAGCTGTGTGATGTAAACACACACATAATGTGAACAAATATGGAAATAGTGATCTCCTTTCAAAGCATTCACAATGACAGCTTGTGTAAGGTAGCGTAGAAGGGCAAATACACTCAAGGGCATGTATCTACACTACGTGAAGTGGAATAAGGACCATTTTTGTATAGCAATGTTATGCAGCTGGCTCTCTTCCAGCGTCCTTATATGACCTGGCTGCTACACCTACCAGCAGGAAGGCAGGACTTTTATGTTTCCGCTATTGTTTTTGATTGCAGGACTTTTACTTGTAACAGAGTATTCCTACATTCTGATATTTCTACTTTTACTCAAGCACAAGATCCGAGTACTTCTCACACCTCTGAAATCATCGTACATTTATATCAATAACGCTGTGGTGAATGGAAGGCTTAACAAGAAGTTAGCAAGTTAGCAGCTAGCATCAGCAGAAGAACCACAGGCCCGGGCTGAGCCTCACCGACTGGGTCAAAGCAAGGACACAGACACCACCAAGCCCAACACTGGGACATTTTCACAGCAGCTTTTACTCAGAGTGTTTGGGTACTGCTAGTATTGAACGAAAGATTAATTAACCTAAGTAAAACATGGTCACATTTGACATCGCGGCGTGTTTTTTTGTTAGATGCACCGGTTAGCTACAGCCAGCGGCGATTTCAGCCGTGAGGACACACATGATTTCAGGCTCAGCCCGGATCATTTTAAGAGTTACAAAATTACATTTAAAAATGAGCAAATACCTTGACATCCCGGCTGTGTACGGGTGATACTCCGGACACCGGAGACCGAGAGACGGACGGCTGCTCTGAACATGATGCGGGACAGCCAGCTACACACACCGGGGAGAGTCTGAAGGAGGAAGCTAATGGCTTTAGCTCGGCACGTACGCTGTCCCCCTTCTGCGCATGTGCAGACTGCAGAGCTCATACATGGTATATTGTCCTTTTTTGTTGACCTACTTTGACCATGACATTGACCCTAAAATATGTTCTAAAGTACACAGCCTTTTCATGGTTTTTCAGTTGTATTCTAATTAAAATATTTGAAATGTCAAGCCCTTAAACATACAATTCAGCTGTTATGTTAAGTTTCCATATGTAAATAAGTGAAACCTCTAGGTCATATTCTCTACTATGAAGTGTTTTTCCATGACAGGATTTTTATCAAACAATACAAGATATATACACTCCATAACATAATAAAAAGGGGACATCCCTGGGAAGGAACATCATCATTATGAAAGTTAATCCTCAAGCAAAACATTGTGGTTGATCCATGAAAATATACATAATTTCACAAAAGTAAAAACCAGAATAGAGAATTTTGACGCAAACAACAATGTTTGTATTTTACCTTTTGTATGAGAGGATCTCTGATATCTAGTAACTATTTTATATTGCTGTTATCATCATGTGAACATGTACAATGCTAAAATTCAAAACGCATTTTAACATGCAAACCCATTTCTTTATTATATTCTAACTTTTTTTTTTTAAAAACTTTTTTATGCATGCTTCTACGTAACATTAAGCTGTCTTTGGCTCTTTTTCTGCTGTAACAAAGTACATTTCCTCCCTGTGGGACTAATAAAGGTATTCTGATTCTGATTTCTACATATCATTGTATCATTCAGTACACTTCTTTCATTGTCAGTGAAGTTGCATACTGATGCAATATTGTAGATTATGATGAGGAGAATGTCCTTAATGTTGATCATCTGGATGAGAAATATTATAGTATTATAATATAATATGATTATTCCATATTATAGGCAAACTTAACGTGCAGAGACATAATGAAATAAACCCCTGATCAAGCTTAATATGTAAATTATCAGATATTCCACAGGCTGTAGTTCAACATCGAAATTGAAATTCAAAGTCATTCAGGTTTAAAGAACAATGTAAAAGTACAAAATACAGTTTGTCCATTTGGTAAATCTTAATTTATTGTCAATGTACCATACAAGGTAATCCATTTGTAGTCTTATTATACTACATAAGAAAAACACAGAAATGTTTTTATGATTGAGAGCCATACAGCCTGAGAAAAGAAGCTGCTCTGTAGTCCGGTGGCTCCTCCTCAGAGGATATTTTTGTATCAGGTGAACAGGCTTTCAGGCCACTTGCCGGCACACTGTCATACCAATATCACTGATGCTCAGTGGATGGGTGTACTTTTCCTCTTTGTATGTTTCCAGTTAGGATGCTTTCCGTTGCTCCTCTGTATAAGTTGGACTTGACAGACGTTCACGAGGGACCTACACTCAGTCACCCAGACAGACTCTCTTGGCTGTGTGCTGTGAGGAGGGACTGTGAGCCGGCCTGATCAGACCTCTGAGTCTCTCTGCGTCCTCTGTGGGGACACTCTTGGTTTGGGGGGGTTGGTATCCAGGCTCCTGGGGATCCAGAGGGTCTTTAGAGAGCAGGATACAGATGGCAGGGACAGTCCTCTGCATGGTTATACCTGGGGCTCCCTGCTGGGGACTCTCCCAGACCTCATTCACCGTCTTGTAGTAGAGCTTTGACACCTGGTGGAGTTCTCCAACTTTTCGTTTCAGAATCTCCACACAAGTGATGGTCTTGGTGACTCCTCTTCCTGAGCCAGTGAAGACCACCTGTCTCAGCGATGTCCCATTGCTGTCTTTCCCTTCCCCTTCCCCTTCCATGCGAGCTGTTGCAAACCGCAGTAAATTACGGATCTTGCTTCCTTCTTTCACTCGCATGTGCAGGATGTCAGCTGCTAGGCCAGGGATCGGATATGGACTGCTGTCCTCTGTGCGGCTGACTCTCCTGAACTTGCTCTGGCCAAGCTTTGAAGACGAAGATGAAGGTGGGACATCAGGGTCGGGGGAAGCAGACTGTTGTTCCATTAAGGAGCTGCTTGTAGCGTTTGAACTCTGCATCTGACCTCTGGGTTCACTCATGGTTTAAAAAGCAGTTAAATAACAGATCAGAATGCTGTTTCTGAGCCTGCAGCCTCGGATTAGTTGCATACCTCTCCTAAGGTCAGAAACATGTTTTCTGTCCATTTTGCATAAGAAATGTAAAACTGGTCAGCCTTGTAATCCAAACTTCAGTCTTCTCCTGTTCTTCTTTCTGTCCTCTGTACATACAGCATCTTCTCCTCTTTGTCTTCTGAGCACTGCGATGACAGCCAGCAGTGTGAAGAGGGTATTTCTTCCTCTAATCCCATTGAAGTGAAGGAAAAGATGTCCTTGCTCTTTTCAGCACTGAGGACAGCTGATGCCAACAAACATATGAGGCTCAGAGAGAGACATGTAGAGTGGGACATAGGGCTCTTAAAGGCACACACATCATTTAATAATGTCTGTCACAATGTAGTTGTTGGTATTTGAAGGAAGCTTTTGTTGAACCCTGAAGGGCTCAGAGGTTTTTTTGTCCATGTGGATGCTTGAATTACATGGATGAATAAACATGAGTTAATTAGATTAAACAAGGCGTGCAGTTGAAACAATCCCCTGTTTCAACTGATTTGGTTTCGATTGTCAACGTTTTTAATGTGGCTTTTTGCAGATATTGCACCAGTCTCACGTAAAGATATAGAGAAATAAAATAACAACTATGGCAACATATCATGGTTTTCAAGGCAGCGTTCCCTTTGCACTATCATCAGAGAGCCATATGGTCCTTCAGAAATCTCTTCCTTTGGGCTATTACAGCGACTTCAGTTCTCCTCCATTGACTGCTGGCCTGACCCAGAAAGTGTGTGCTACCTCCTGACATTCATGAGGACAATTGTACCTCGGAGCGTGCCCATTTATTTGTTTGCTACATTTGCATAAAACCAGAACTTGAAAGAAAATATCTGTATCCAGATGCAAACAGATGAGTTTTCCAAGAGGCGTTCTCTGCAGGAGCAGAGCCCAGGGAGGCAGCTGTGGGGCTCATGTGGAACCAGTACACTGTTATAATGGTGCATTCTGCCTCACAGGATGGTATGCACCCCATAATATCCACTGACTCGAACAGTGAGCACAAAGATGTGGTTCTCGTGGTGTTGATATATCCCAGAACAAAATGCTATTGGTTCCATGAGAGTAACCCACTGGCCATGAATGTCAATTTAATGCATTTTAACTGTCCATCAGTGATTTCTCATTATGACAATAGTGGTAAAAAAAAACACTCTGATAATGTCTGTGGTTTAGTCACTGCATGTGCCACAAAAATCCCAAATCCTTTTCTTAGTTTGAGACTTTCTTTTGTGTGTGTGAATCCTGTGACACATCTGTGTTATGTAGTTATGCAGTGTTCTTTTCCCTGAGGTAGAATACTACACAGGCTCATGTTTTAATGTTCTCACAATAAGATCTAAACAATTCTAATTTTAAAAAGTGTAGCAGTCTCTACTTGAAGACATTAAGAGCTGCTATAACATGACATGATGAGGTTTCGTTGGCTTTGTGAAGTAAAGCCCTCAGCAGTTGTTATTGTAACACTTCCATCTTGTGGTACAAAACAGATATTACACATATCTGTTTTTGTCGCTCTTCAAACATTTCATTAAAAGGAAAACATTTGATAATTTGAAAGAAGAAAATTATGTTTAATTGAAAAATGTGTGGTTATAAAAAGGTACAAAATATGTGTTTACAGTACAAACGTATAACACATATTTATAATACATATTTACACAAGACTATTTGGGTGTGTCAGATAAGACAAAATGAGATGTAAAGCAAACAAATCTTTACAGATGCCTGAAACAACACACCCATTTCATCTCGTATTATTGCAGTTGATAAAAGAAAGAGAGCTCTTCACCTTTGTGGTGTTTTTTTCTTTACTTTGAGTTAGCGTTTTTCATTTAAATAAAAGCTGACAATCAAAGAAAGCAAAACCTATTTCAGTCAGTGTGAAAAATAAATAAATATGAAGTCTACACTCTTATGATAAAGCATTTGTTTTCTCAGCACGGCTTTGAAGCAATTACTTGTAAAATGTCCCTGTGGATCTTGTCCTCCTCGGTGTCGATGTGAACATCTCCCACCTGACCGTTCTCATATCTGAAACAGACAAAAGCAGAATGTTGTGCAAACCTGCAATATCATTTGAAATGAATCATAACTCTGGGAGGCCGAGAAGATGTGAAGGTATTTCTGTTTCTGCTGCAAGACTCACACAAAGAGGAAGCGTGTGCACACATGGTCGGGGATCGGACAAACCCAAATGTTCCCATGTTTTTGAAGGTCCTTGGAAGTTATGACTGGCAAGATATGCAGACAACATTTACAAAACAACTGTCCCAAAATAATTCCCACAATAATCAAATCAAGGTTATGATCTGAAATGTACCTTCACAGAGAGCAATGCAGTTTAGATTCCTGTTTTGCAGAAACCTGGCTTGACCCAGTGGTTCCTAATACAAGGAAAGACAAAATAAATACAGTAAATACAAAAAAATAAGAAGATATCCATGCAACCGGTCACCTTTTGGACAAACATGACTGTACCTGATTGATTCTGTTTATTTGGTTGTATTTCTTTATGAGTTCTTCTTTGGTGTCCATTTGGTGTCGCCCTTTACCCATCTCTGCACAAAGAGGGAGGGTCAGTTTTAAACAACATGCTAAAATCAAAAGATGATGGTCATTTTTGTACAAAATGTAATTTTGTTTGCAAAGTATTATTTAAAAAACAGTACGAAAGTGTGCATTCATACCAGAATACCCAAATGATATGCTCGAGATAGGACTCAGATAGATGCCTTTCCCATATGCAGCTCCATGAAGCTTGAATAAGAAACAATGTGACTTAAGTTCAAATCTGTATGGTTTTATAGATTTAACTCTCAAAAGATAATCGAATAAGGAATCCAAGACCCTTTCATATGTTGATACTCTACCTGTAATTTTGTATAAGAGGCATTAATCAGCCCCTTTCTCAAAATAGAGTGCCAGTTTTCAATGTGGGAACCACTGCAAGAAGAGAAAATAGCATCTAAGCGAATGGAGCAGGGATCACATTATGTATGTGCGGTGGATATGAAGGTTTGATATTAGTGGCACAGCTTTGTATTTACTCACTGAAAAGCAAAGGTGCTTCCATAAAGTTCCCTGGCTGTTTGAAAGCGAGCCTCTCTAGACGGAGGGCTGCTGATCAACAGGAACTGATGGGGCGTGTGCATGAACTTAAGTTGCTATTGTGCACAAACAGGAAAGCTTACAATTTACAAAAATTATAAAAACAATATACCACGTCATTTTTGGCTAACTGACATTTTGGGTAGATGTCATTGTCTAACTGTGAACTGCTCTATGTTACCCTGTCCAGCGGGAGCTTGACAATGTGTGATGTGTTGCTTGCTAAAATCCTATTGTAAAACAAAACACATTGGTATGGATATAAGAAACATTTGGATTTGACTACATCTCACATTAATGAAATAGAATAAAAGTATGTTTAGATTGTATCACTCACCATTGTAGTAAGGGATGAGCGAGAGGGTCTATCATGTCCATCTGCTTCTTTATTTCAGAATATGGACCCTGGATAGGATAAAATATCCTTTTGTATTAATGCGACTGCCAAATTCACCAGCTTTCAGATTATTCTGAGAGGCCTTGAACCCCATATGAATTTAAAAGATTGGGTGATAAGTGTTGGATTTATTTTAGGATCAGTCACCTGTGACATCCTCCTGATTAACAAGACATTATCCAACGCTTTTTGCAGCCTGTCGTAGCTCTTTCTCTGCAATGACAAAACATTATTCCTTCAGAATAAAAGCAATGTCAGACTCAATAATTATAAATCAAGTAAGTAATCAAACATATATATATCATTAGATACATTTAGCTGAAACCTTAGGATTAAAGGCCAGGGTTTGTGGGTTGCAGGGATCAACCACAGAAGGGTATGGTTCAAATACGATGGTCTTGCGTGAAGACTGAAGGGCGGCACTGCACATGGCCACCAGCAGGTCAGCCACCTGTAGATCAGCCATTACTGCAATGCATCAATCTTACATTATGATTGCCCAAACCAACTATTAAACTACCCATGAAACTACCTATTTGTGTATGTTGGTTTCTCCTATACCTCTGCACCAGTGGCAACCTCCTCTGTAGCTCCAGACATAACCCCAAATGTATAAAAGGAAAAAACACAGAGCTCTCTGGTGCAAACGGCTGGCTAAAAACACACAAAAAGTAAAAATCAATTGAGTTTCAACCGTTTTTTCTTAATCAGCAGATAGGCCACTAAATCTTCAGCTTATTGTGTGAGTGTACCTGTAACAAAGGGCCGTTCTGTAGCACATGTCGCTCATCACAGACAACACAGTATTCATTCAGCGTCGGGAGTCTCTGCTCCACATACCTCATTACCTGTCAACACAATGGAAAACAACATTATAGGTTTTTATTGCATTTCCTTTTACTATCTGCTTTATATGAGCTTAAACTTCAATTACAATTGTGATGTCACACTTTTTTCAATCAGAAACTCAGTGCAATATTTCTGTATTGTCTGCACAGCAAACCAATGGATTATTTGACCCATTACAACATGTGCCCTGCAATTAGTATATTAAGTAACTAATTACATTTCAAAGTGATCTGACCCAGCAGTGATTGCTGCACTGGCAGAAAAAGCATGTGGTGAGTTTGACTCTCAGACAGCTTATCTTTAATTTCCCTCTCTGACAAAACATAGTAGTATTTGATGTCTTGCTTTACCTGCACCAAGAAGCCATGCTGCAGAGTTGGGGTGGTCTTACAGTGCTTGATGGCCTGGGTGGAGAAAAGCAGCTCTATCAGCTGTTTGGTGCTGAGCTGTGCTGACGACTTTACCGCAGACACCACCACCCTCTGTGAGAGAAGAAACACAAGCACTGTGGTTAAAACCTACAGAACCCATATTTAGGAGTAACAAAAACATTGAAAGGATGTTTCAAATATGGCCGTAACCATAAAATATCCAGGAGAATCTCTCAGATGAGTGCTTTAAATTCACCTTTCCACTGGGTGTGTAGGTGAAGAGGTCCCCTGGGAGGTTATTGATGGTGTAAGAATGTGCACGATTTATTTTCATCGCTGGTGAAATGATCCTCCCTCTCGCAGGACGTTCCTGGAGCTCACCGGACCTGCTCACAGTGAGGAACAGTGAACGTTGACTTCAAATCAGACCGACTCAGCAATAGAACCGCTGGATTCATCAGACGGTCACATACTTTGCTTTTGTGAGCCAGATGCGGAGTCTTGCACGGAATTTCTTGATAGTTCCACTTGACCTGAACCAGCTGTGTCCTCTCTTCTGTCGGAATACAACGCTCTCACATGTCAGATGTTTCCACTCCTGAGATAAGAAGACTGTGAGAATACTGGGGAGCAGAAATTAAGAGTTAGTTTGAGCCATTGTGGAAAAGCTTACCATAGACGGCTTTGGATGTTTCCAGACTATTTGATGTGTGTTTGTCAGCCTCCTATATGGATTACAAGGGGCTCGCTCCACCTACTAGAAGATTTAAAAAGCCCTTATCATCTTTATCCATGGTAGATCATTAATTCAACCATAAGACAACATCGATGTTGCACATAATGCTTGCTACATTACGCAACTAACCAACTTGTAAAAACCCAGACCATGGTGTATTTCTAAATGTATTCAAGTAGTTTTGTAGCCTTAACCTAAAAAAGGCTGCTTATAACTACAACCATATTTACTTTCACCAAGTGCAGGTAAGTGAAATTTACCTATTTTGCCCTGTCTATACCATTCAAATAGAATGCATAACGACTGAGTTAAATGATCTGATCTCTTTCGTAACAGGAACTTAAAACCCTTTACAATATTTGCCCAAACACTCACTTCTGTAGTTGCTTCCTCAGGCTGAAATGATCTCTGTTGGACGGTTGAAAGACTTCAACTGAAGGAGCTGTTTCGAGAATGAACACTTAATCAGATGTTACATTGATTTATAGTAAATGTAGTTTGCAGCAGTGTTGTTGATGCTCACCAGGTCCGTCGAGATACTGAGACGAAGAGAAGTGCAGACGGATAACAATGGGATCCGAGAGGTTAATCCTCCAGGCCTCGGCTACTTCCTCCTTCGGACACCACACAGCACAAGCATATTAAACACACCAACATGCCACAACAACAAACATGTCAATATACTGAACTTGAATTGAGTGTGTTGTAATTCACGTACATCCAAAACGTTGGTATTTATCTTTAAGTCAACATCCACTTCTTCAATTGACACATAATCCCTAAAAGAAGAAGAAAAGTAGATGGAGAGTTGACAACGTAGGAAAGCAGCCGAGATCCTTAAAGATCATGAATAAGAAAAAGGTCCTGACCTGATGGAGACTGCAGAGTCTGAATACAAAGTCATGACTGCCTCTATGTCAGTATCCAGCTGAGGGTGGTGAGTCAGGTCGGTGGCACAGCTCTCCTGCCGAGACAAACACTAACACTTTCCTCATGGCCCAAACAGCTCAGCACCGCGGGGGGCGAGGGATTAACGAGTCACATCGAATAATGGCTTAGAAAAGGGATTTTACGCCTCCTTAAGATATTAAATGTTGGTCACACTTTATTTTCATGGACCTCTTCATTCCTTGTATCATTTTTAGCCCACGATAAACACTTAAAAACGGTTTACTGTAGCACTTTACGAGATGTAATCAAGTAAATGGAACTGTTTGAGTTTGTATTAATATATGTTATGTGATAAACTCCATAGGCCGTTGATACACAAGATACTGCTGAAAGTCTAGTAAGTGGTAACCTTGAGTTAGAAAGTTAGGGTAAAGATTTTTAAGTTTAAGCTTTTCAATATTTAGTTAAAACCATATATTTGAAACCTGCTGTATAAAGAGCTCATCAGTGTTTCATTACACAAGATAAGGAATGTTGTATGTGATGTCATATGTAGTTTAATCAAGTATTTATACCTGTTTGTTATTTATTTTTCAGTTGTAGTTGCTTCAAAAATGATTTGTCCTTAAATCTGCTTAAAACTACATCCCAGTGTTATAAATGATTGATCACATCTTTATACTCTTGTTTGCATGTCAAGAAAGGTTTCATAATATATAAAGGTAGTGATTTTGCTCCGAACATCCAGTGATGATAATTTGTGTTTTTGTGCAACCATTGTAGGTAGTTGTCTTAATTTAGGTGTGAGATGATAATTGTGTCAGTGCTTGAATAACATTCAATACAAAGCTTACATGGACTCCACACAGGATTTCCTCCGAGTCACTGTCCTCATCAGTCTGGCTCTCGGTCTCCTGTCGGGTTAATGGGAAAATCTGTCAATCAAAAGATCTTCTCTGCTAATTACTTCCTCCTGTCTTCCTAAAACAAGTCAACTATAGCCATGCTGCTGAGACTCTCACCGATTAAAAAGTGTATGCAGATAAAACTATCGATCCAAAGTAAAAATTCTGACCAAATGCAATTAATTGGCGGATGATTTCAGATGTAAAAAAGTATGCGTGTCAATGCAAATACTTTTCTACCCTGAAACAGATTCAACAGATTCAGTGTGATATTATAAATATGAGTAGTAGAGGGTTGTTAAAGACTCACCATGTGTTCAGCTCTTTGGCACTTCTCCAGCATCAACCAACAGTATGCTTCCCCAACTGTGACTAATGCTGGAAAACACATGTGACTTCAGATACTATTTACCAAAATGAACACATTATACCTTTGAATACAAATATTTGTATTTACCTCCCTTTGTGTGAGAATCTATTGTAAAAAAAATAATACAATCATTCAAAAGACTAAAACAAGTTAAGTGTTTACCTTTCATTCCTGAAAAAAAACCATGGATTGTCCACATATTCCAATCAAAGAAACAAAGTGATGATGTACAAAATAAATTCTCACGTCCATGTGTGAAGATCAAACGACAAAAACAATGAATATTGCTGTTTGAGTGCTCTGCAGTGTTTGCTGTGAGTGTTTGGCTCTCCTCCTGCCTTTGGACAGCAGGAAGTCTCACATGTTCAGTCTCAGACTTCAGAGTCACGTGATTGGCCGATGATACCGACCACCTGATCAGCTGAACCTGGTCCAGAGAGGGGAGAGGCTGAGGACAAGACCTGCAGCTCTGTCAAGCCAAGACTTTGCTCTGATGCACACTTACTGATACTTTTACAGACTTACTTTTTTTAAAGGATCTGTACCAAACAAATATGTTTTTAAAGTCTTTATAAGACCATTTGCAGGCCGGGATATCTCTGCAGGACCACAATAATTGATTGTTATTTATCACATCGAATATTTATAGCATTTAACCAATATTGTGCTTCCTGCAATTTAAATATTGCTACTCTGTATTGCTTTTTCTGAATAAATGTGATTAATTTTGCAGCCCTAATATTATTGCTATCCTCTTTCAGACTATTAGGAGGAGAAAAACAAACATAATCCTCATGCTATCCTCCAGACTCTTCAAAAGTCTGATTCATGAATCAGTTTAAAGACTGTGAAAAGAAAAAGGGCCCTGATGCATGTTTGAAGGATGGTAATATGGGTGAGGTTATTTTTATTTATTATACCTGTCAGTGGGCCTCAGTCTGACCTTAATTGGCAGTTACCCTTGTTGGCCGTTACCTGCTGCTCTGCAGTCTGGACAGATTAGACGCTGCTACGACTGCATACATCTGTGCAGGTCTTCTCTCAACAAGTGCTTTTCCCAGAGTAATCCACTTAGACTGGAGTAGGTGATGGTTATGTGGCTGTGTTTATTTATAGTGGGTAGACACTATAGCATGAACCCTATACTTTACAGAATACTGCCACTTTAAAAGCTGTGCATGAACATTGAGAACATCAAGCAGATTGCATTTCTACTGCGAAGAGCCAACACTCTGCCAACGCCTCAGACACTTTAATATTATATTGTGTTGTCTTTGTATCCACACATTTGATACACCTCATGTTATGTCATCGTGTTAGGCCTTAACTGTCAGGCATCAGAAGATAAATTAACAACAGTTTCACAGTGAATTGTGTAGGGATCAGATTTCCACAGCAACCAGCTTGTATACATCTATAACTATGTAATGATGCATCTGTTGTATAGAAACCAAGTGGTCAAGATTGAGCATTATAAATAAACTGTAAAAATAAATAAAAAAATATTCTACTGAGATTAAGATATCTCTATATCTCTTTTGTTTAATTTAAATTAACAGCCACAATATATATTAAGCGAGGGAAATAGGGGTATAACAAGGAACTAATGTCCCAAGCTGGATTTGAAACCAGTTATTAGGGTCTTCCACCCGACAACACCAGAAAGCTAGACCTCTTTACATATACAGGATAAAATCATATAGACACGCATACAGATTTTAAACACACAGACAAGACATTTTAATCTATGTTTAACTCATTTAATTGGTTTACTATTTGCGCATTGCAATCATTGCAACTGTAGTTAAGGAAGAAAGCCTTTTGACCTGACATTGCAGTTACTGTATAGAACAACCTAATATCCTCCCACCATTCAGCACATATCCTGCAGGATCACACTGTCACTGTTACGGTGTGTGAAGCAGGTAGGACCCAAATGCAGATTAACGTGAAAATTCCTTTATTTCAAGGCTATTCTAACAAAGACAGAACAGAACTCTCACCGAGGACAAGCCAAATCACAAGACGAACCAACACTGAACACAGGAAGAGAACAGACTAAATACTGGGAGGGGTAATCACAAGACGAGAAACAGCCGGGCAGGGGAGGAGAAACACAAGGGCCACAGGTGAACACAATCAGACAACTAGACACACCAGGGAAACTAACGACAGGGGAAAAACACAGGAAGAAGAACCAGACAATATACAAGGAGGAAAACACCCATAACCAGACATACAAAACTACAAACGTGACAAAACATGAGAATCCTGACAGTCACTAAGAAGACACTCCAATCAGTCATCCACAAGAGAGAGCTGTTGCTGAGAGGGAGAGGGAGAGAGAGAGGGGGGGAGGCAGATGGACAGTATGTCCTGCACTATATGGCATGCAGACTATTTACTAAAACAAGAGTAAGTGATTGTACATCAGTGTGCAATTGATTGAACAAAACAAACTCATTTGTATTTCTGTGTCTTTCTCACCTCTGTACATCAACATTATTTCAGAAGAGGGACAATTGAATGATGATTTTGATTGAATAAATAAATGGAACAATGAATCAATGAATGTCACTGACGAATGCACCATTTTTTTGTTTTCTCCCAACAGTGTTTTTTATTTAACATTTATAATTATTTTTAATGTTTTGCAACTCAGAGTTATGTTGTCTTTTCCTTTGTGCAATGCATTGGGAGAATCACTGGCAAATAAAAAAACGGAGTATGTTTACATACTGCACTGATTGTACTTGAATGCATTATGAGTACGTTGCATGGATTAAAGACATTGATAGAGGGTGTCGTTTTTTCTCATACTGATATTCTGAACAATCTGTGCTATTGTATTAGCTGTAAAGTGTCTCCACTGTAGGCTATTTTTATTATATGTACAGCACTTTGGCTCGACCAAAAATCGTTTATAAATGTGCTATATAAATAAAACTTGATTTGATTTGATTTGATAGGACGTGTATTATTCAAAAAGAGCTGAAAATACATATATTTTTAAAAACAAGATAAATTGTTAAAATGTTGTGAAATAATAAGGACAATAAATGTGACTATATTAATCTAATTGATTATTCAAAAGTGTAATAAGTAAATTTGGCTCAAATTCCGAAGACAAATGAACACAATTACTTGTGTGTTATATGAAGGTAGATATGGTGCAAAATGCGAGAGTGTGTAAAACCTGATGTGAGCACTTGCAGAAAAAAATCTGAGCTTGTGTGCATACATTTACACTTGTATAAAATATCCACGTAACTGTGAACCAAATTTGAAGTCACAGAAGAAAAAAAAAGTTTTGTAGCTTGTTCACTTGCAGAAAAATACATATTTTTAAAATATATTTTCCATTACAACTGCAACTTTATTTATTACAACCTCTCAAATCAGTCATTACAACTTGACGAATCTGCTCTGTGGTAGTATAAATCGACGAATCTGCGGTCTTGACTTTTGCTACACTTCTTGCGATAAATGTGTTGCAAAAGTAATTTTCACCTGTAGATGTGGGGGGAGGGAGGGGGGTTGGAGCGAAGGGGCGGAGCTATCAGAACAACGAGGCTCGGGTCAGTCACGTCGAACCGGATGAGAAGGTCCTCGCTGCGGAACGCGGAATGGGGCGGGGTCGGATAAAAGGCGGGGTCGGACGTCCGACCCCTCCTCCGCCCCCGCGACCCCGCCTTGTGAGTCCACATTACACATCAGCTGTTTCCCTACCGCCAAGAAGAAGAAGAAGAAGAAGAAGAAGAAGAAGAAGAAGAAGAAGAAGAAGAAGAAGAAGAAGAAGAAGAAGAAGAAGAAGAAGAAGAAGAAGAAGAAGAAGAAGAAGAAGAAGAAGAAGAAGAAGAAGAAGAAGAAGAAGAAGAAGAAGAAGAAGAAGAAGAAGAAGAAGAAGAAGAAGAACCATGTGATCACCTAGTTGGTCTGTTTGTCCGCGTTATTACATTTGAAGACGATTATACATCATCATTATCATGGAAGGGAACGACCGAAGGTAATACATTATGTATTATGCAACCCAGTAGACATTCGCTGCCAAGTTCCTACCTTGTAAGTTGTCTGTATGGCCGTACCAATAAGTTAGCGCAGCATGCTTGGTCTTGAAATGTTCGTAAGAATCCATAGATGTAGAATATCTACATTGTTCATCTTGATGTGTTTTTAAATTCTTACAAACCAACTGAATCGATCTGCTTAAAGAAATAACAACATTTGATACATGTAGACTCTGATTTGAATGTATTCCATTTTGTGTTCTTCCTCAGACACCATAGCATTCTTACTGAGGGAGAAGAACCTGTGCCCCTACAGTCCGCCGGTTCACCTTTTTATCAGTGCCCATTCTGCTCTTATAAGACTGCAGAAAGGCATTTGGTGATTAACCACATACAAAATCATGCAACGGTGAAACATAAAGGTAAAAGCCAATGTTAGGGCATAACTTGAACAACAAACAAAATGCATGTGAACAGACAACATACATATGTATATATAGGTACTATATTTATCCCAAAGGAAAGTGATGCACAAGCAAGGTAGAAAGATACATATTTAAAATACTAGTAAAGGGTAAAAGTAAACAAGTAGAAAACTAACGTATTACCTTTATACTGGTGTACAGCAGAAATAGCCTTAAATATGCACTGTAAATATACTGCATCTATAAGCATATAAGCACTACATACATACATACATACATACATACATACATACATACATACATACATACATACATGTATTGCTACCAAAAAGAGCTGCAAACTATTGTTAACTGTCAGCCACTGTCAGTTGCAGCACACAAAGGTTAAAGGTAGCATAATGTTAAAATGTGCAACAAAAAAGAGGAGTAAAAGTAGCTCTTTTTTTCGTTTTAGTTTTTGAAAGTAGCTCTCATCCTAAAAAAGGTTGGAGACTGTTATAGAACAATACATTTGACAATTTTAAGCTTGAAAAATTAAGCT